CTTCCACGCAAAGGATCTCGAAGCACGCCGTACGTCATCGATCGTGGGTACCTGCATGGCCTCGCATGGTAGGGTGCGGATGAGCTTCGCCAGGTCGTCCTGGCTGTCTGCAATGTGCTCGACGTCGAACTCGTTGTCGCCGAGGCTGACGGCACAGGTGATGCTGCCCACGTCCTTGTAGATGATGTCCTTATCCGCAGCTTTGGAGACCTTTGTACCTTGCCATATGTCATTCCACATGTCCATCTGGCTGTCTGCTACTGCTTGAGGAAGCGCTGAGCGAATACCGAACCTGTCTACCTCATTGTGCGCCCGCCCCTTCAGCTTGGTCATGCCGGAGACTGGGGAGGCGCCTGTGATCAGCGCGTCCTGGGCCCACTTGTGAAAGCTCTTGGCCCTCTTGTTGGCTGCCTGCTGCTCGAGAACCTTGGCATGGCCTTCGAAGGTCAGGGCGAGAGCTTTGACAAACAGGATGTACTGCGAGGCCTCCAGTCTGCACGCATAACGTAGAACAGGCCAAGCCCACTCGAACAGCACCACGCCCTCCGTCGCGTGGATGTCCTGACGATGACCTGGCCGAAGAGCCCTCGTGATGCGCGCCCAGTTGGGCCCAATAAGACCTGGACCCCGACGCCTCGGTGGGGTAGGTCCCTCCCGATCGCCTTGGTCTTGATCGTCGTGCCCTCTCTCGTCGCGAAGCCCTCCTCGATCTGGCCCTTCGTCGTGTCCATGTGGCTCCGCCTGCTGCTCAGCCATGCCAGCGACAAACTTTAAATTAGCGCTGGAGCCCGAGCCGCCGACGTCGCCTGAATGAGTAGAATTCCCAAGGGAAGCTGCTGTCCTTGCTCGATGCCGTGGTGATGCCCGCTTCTCAGCCATGCCGACTGCAATCTTCAAATGAGAGCTGGAGCCCGAGTCGTTGGCGTCACCTGAATAAGTAGATGTCACGCGAGAAACTGCATCCTTGTCACGATCACGTGGCGCCGTCCGCTGCGCAGCCATGCCAGCATCAAACTTCAACTGAGAGCTGGAGCCCGCGATGCCGACGACGCCTGAGTAAGTCGAAGCCGATGTGGTAGCTGGCGAAAGATGACCTGTTGGCTCTGCCCTTTCAAGTTGAGCGGCCAGGTCTTGCAGCGCGAAGGTCACGTTGCGCATGCAGCGGGCTTCGGGGCCAGCTGCTGGAGCCCCTTTGAGGATGGGCCCTCCCGCTGGACGCCAGACATATGCAGGAGCTTCCGCTCTACCACAATACTTCTCGCGATCCTGCACGTCCACCTGGTTGATGTGGCAGAGGTCCTGCTCCACGAACGAGATGAAGTTGGCGTGGAGGCCGTCGAGCCGCCGCTGTGCCTGATCACCATCTTCAGGTTGTCCCAGATCCGCATCTTGCCTGACCACGTCCAGGTAGGGTTGCAATTTGGGCGGCCCATACAAGGGACTGGCCCGTGAGCACCGCGGCGCCTGCTTGGGGAAAGGCTTGGGCGCCTTCAGGTGCATCTGCATGTGCGCCCTGGGCTTCGCGTCGAGATCCATGCGCACAGGATAGTGGGGCCTCGGGACCCAAGAGTCGAGCACGTAGGGGGCGCCACAAGCCTTCGCAAAGTCAGGTGAGGCCAGCCAGTAGTCGATGGTGCTGTAAGTGCCCGTCTTTGCCGAACGACAAGTGCCCGACGTTTGAGTGGCCACCGCAATGGCAGGCATGATCTGCAAGAAGCCCAGCACCTCCATGTTGGCAGGCTCCGTGTTCCAGTCACCTGCGAAAATGAAAGGGGCGGAGAAGTAGCGCATGCTCTCCGCGATGCGCATGAGCTTCTGATAGTTAGCGGTGAGAAAGTCGGGGTCTGGGACCGACTCCATGTACGCCGACCCGACGATGAAGCCTCCCTTGATCCCAGCATGTACGTGTACTGCCACCGCCCACGAACGTACGATCTCGAACCCATCCGTAACGCCCCCAGCACCACTAAGAAGAGTAGTGGATACATGCGCCCTGACAAAGATCCCCACGCCCGCGCTCGGCAGCTTGGAAGCCAGGCGCCTGCACGGACTGAATGGCTGCCATCCATTTCTCGTCGCCCATGTTCGCGCCTGATCCAACGCTTCGCCATCAAGTCGAAGTTCCTGAGCCGTTACCACCAGCGCATCTGTCGCTCCATTCTGCCAAAACTGCTGGCACGATCGCCAGCAATACCCATTGAATGTGACAACCCCCATGCTGGTGCGCGCCCTGCGGCGCGTGGCTCGTCTACGTGGTGCCCGCAAACTCCCGCGCTGCCGCTGCTGCTCCTGCTGGCGTCGGTGCTGCTGCGACTGGTGGTGCTGCTGGTGCACGTGCTGCGCCTGGTGCTGCAGGCGCTGCGGCTGCTGTGACTGCTGCTGTGTGGGCGCCGACGCCAGCGGGCTGCCCGCCCGCGGTGCGAAAGGCCTCAACCTCCATCGCCGTCTGGCCTGGCGGAGACGGCCTCGGCATTGCGTCCCCCGGCGTGCGCACGTGTCCCACCAGCTGCTCCAGGATGGCACCGCCCACGATGTTGCGGTCCTGGCCCTGCTGGATGGAGTTGCGGGCTGTCTGGAGAAGTTGCTGAAGCGCCGCCACCGAAGATGCCGCATCGCCGCCCAGTGGTGCGGTATGTGCCGCATTGGCCAGCTGGGCCTGCGCCACCTCCTCGTTGGACTCCACAAGCTGCAGCTTGACGCGGTCCAGCCTGTCGGTGGCCGATTTGAGTTGGGCTGCCAGGGCGTCGACCTCCGTCTGGAGCTTTGCACGCCCCTCTTCACGCGCTGCCTGCCTGTCCAGCGCCGAGCGGAGCACGTCGGCAGGCGCCATGTGAGCCCGCTCTTGTGCTTCGGCCTGGCTGAGCTCGGCCTTGGCAGCCACGACGAGGGAGTGCTCTTCGTCATAGATGCTGCGCAGCGCCTTGAGGGCCTTACGGCACTTGGCCACCGCGTTGGACTCCGCGGTGCCCCCGCCGCCAGCCCCAGGAGGAGCGCCGCGAAGATGGCGACCGCCGCCAGCGCCCAGCGAGCGAGGCCTGGACGCCGAGCGCGGCCTGGTGGGCTGGCGGGCCCCCTTGGCTCCCGTAGGCCGGCCCTGGCGGTCGAGGCCGCAGGCCCAGCAGGTCTCGCGGGTCGCGAAGTTGTTGGCGAACCCGCACGCCCGCGTGGCCGCGCATGCCCACACAGGGCCACCGCCGCCACGCCCCTGAGCTGTGCGCCAAGGGGCTCCATGGGCCGCCTCGTCCTGCGCCATGGCCTCGCCGTGGTGGCCAGCCAGCGTCCTGCGGGCCTCCGCGACGCGAAGGACCTGGCGAGCCTCCGCGCGGCGCCGCCGCTGCCGCCTGTGCCAGGCTGGCGACGGCGAGCGCCGTCGAGGCGAGCGGCCAGCCGTCGTCGAGGTGCACCAGCGCCCGCAATCGCCGCGGGCCGCCGGCGTCTGGGGCCAGATGGACGCCCCCCCCGCGCGCCCCCGCGCGCGTGGGAGCCCAAATGGCAGCCTGGACGAGAAGGAGGAGGAGGAGGAGGAGGAGGAGGAGGAGGAGGAGGAGGAGGAGGAGGAGGAGGAGAAGGTTCGGGAGGGATGACGGGGGCCCGGGTTCCCAACTGGGGCCGGGAGCGCGGCGCCCCCAGCTGTGGCCGCGCGGCGCCGCCCAAGCGGCCACGGCGGGCCTCGGCTGCCCGCCGGCCGCCGGCGCCGCCGGCGCCGCCGCCATTTTCGGTGTCGTCTTCGTCGGCGCGGTGCGCGCCGCCGTTGCGCTCCTCCTCGTCCTCCTCCCTTCCACGTCCTCCTCACGTCATTCCTCCTCCTCCTCCTCCTCCTCCTCATCCTACCCTCCCTCTACTCCTATCCTTTTCCTTCCTCCTCCTCCTCCCCCTACTCCGTCTCCTCCTCTTCCTGCTCTTCTGCCTCCTCCTCTTCCGCGTCGCGCGCCGCCGTCGCGCTTGTCTGGAAGAACATCCTGCCCTGTGACCCAGACCCCCTCGAGTCATGAAACAAAGCACGACGGGTGTTTCTTCGCCATTTTCGGCATCTGGGGGCCCTTACTGGGCCTCGGAACCGTGAAAAGACGACTCAGGATGCAACAACGGTGCCTGGCAATGGGTCAAGACCTCTGGAGGTTGACGTCATGGAGAAATCATGAAGTCGGGGGTCTGGGGATCGCGGGTTGTTCTTCAATCCCACGACTTCCTGTGAGGGTTTGGGACGACGTCGGGGTAAGGGAAGCATCGACAAAATGTATGCACCAGTATCCCGTAGACGCCCCGACCCGCTTTCCTGTGCGAGCTTCAGTGCGGGGCCAGAAGACGCGTCCGTGCGTATATAGAGATCGGCTCCTTCCGCAGGCCCTGAGCTCTCGGCGTTGCACTTCTTGCCAGAACAAGGGCGCTTCCGCCCGGTGTGTGGGCCCCGGGCCCTCGCAGCTCGATCCCGCTCGATGAAGGACGCTGCTGCTGCTGCGGAGGGGGAGGGGGAGGAGGAGGAGGAGGAGGAGGAGGAGGAGTGGAGGAGGAGGAGGAGAGGAGGAGGAGAAGGAGGAGGGGGAGGAGGAGGAGGGAGGAGGAGGAGGAGGAGGAAGTGGGGGAGAAAGAGGAGGACGAGGAGGAGGAGGCGGAGGAGGAGGAGGATGATAGCTCATATGGAAGGAGAATGAGGAGGAGGAGGAGGAGGAGGGGGGGGGGGCGGAGGAGGGGGAGACGGTTCGGAGGAGGAGGTGGGCGGAGTAGAAGTAGTCGGAGGAGGGGGAGAAGAGGAAATGAAGGAGGAGGAGGAGGAGGAGGGAGGGGAGGAGGAGGAGGAGGAGGAGGGGGAGGAGGAGGGGGGAGTTAGGAGGGAGGAGGAGGAGGAGGGGAGGGAGGAGGAGGAGGAGGAGGAGGAGGAGGAGGGGGAGGAGGAGTTTGTGGAGGAGGAGGAGGAGGAGGAGGGGGAGGAGGGGGAGGAGGAGGAGGAGGAGGAGGAGGAGGAGGAGGAGGAGGAGGAGGTGCCAAGTATTTCGCAGCGCAGCGCCGGCTCTCAGAGAGACGTGCGCGCCACGTGCGGCCGAGACAATGGCAAGCGACGTCGACAAGCAAGGGAGGACCCCTGCCCCAAGAGCAGAGACGACGAGCAGAGACGACGTCAGAGGAACACGTAAGTCGGGCATGTCCCTCTACAGGAGGAATATTCAAGAATAGTCAAAGCATAGTCGGGGGACGATTGTGTGACTATTTTGAATCTGTGCTGGATATGTTCGAGTTTTTGATTTTTCGTCCACAGTCCGCCTGTAGGAGGACATGCCCGACCTAAAACACATGCATACTTTCCCGGAGGTCCGCGCGGATCTCTTGGATCGGCCTTGGGCCCCACTGGCGGCGCCTCGGGCGCCACCCCTGGCCCGCTCCGCGCGCCTGGGAGAGCGCGAACCTCCGAGACGCCCGCCACCGTGCCTTGTGCACGTCGAGGCTTGGAAGAATGTCAGCGTCTACCTGCTAGGGTTCTTGGACTCTAGCGAGGGGCCGCCCCTCCTCTACCAGCGGACCTCGTGCGCGCATACCCCCCCAACTCACCGAGGCCACTTCCCTCGTGCCCGCTCGAGGATGGGTGCACTTCCCGCATGGAGTCCCTACCCCCCCTCTCCACGTTTGCCCGCTCGAGGATGGTAAACTTCCCGCATGGCAGCTCATGCCTGAACCCCCATTCCACGCGTACTTCCGCATGACGGCTAATGCCTGATCCCTCATTCCATGCGCACCCGGTCGAGGATTGCGCAGTTCCCGCAGGGCTGCCACCTCCTAGACCCGTCATCCCAAGCTCCCGCTCGAGGATCGCGTACGTTCCAGACACCCTGGCGCTGCTGCCACGCGCCCCAAGGCCTCCCAAGCGACGAACCTCCGTGAAATTACCCAGGAACGTACCCAACCCTTTCTAAACACGTAGTGGCTATACCCAAGACTGCCCAATACAGGCGAACATGTTGAAAGAGCCGCAGTGCGCAGAAGCGGCCAGAAGTGAAATCAGATGCGCGCAGCAGCGAGGGCAATGACAGCCACCCGAAAAATGGGCACAGAGCGGCGCTGCTGTAGGACAAGCGCCCAAGAACACTTGAAACAAGAGGGCCGCGGCGGCAAGGGCAGGGGGCAGCGAGACGAGCACAGCAGATGCTGCACACGAACAGGGCAGCGCGACGAACCAGAAGAGCACCCCAGAAGTGCAGACCGAAAGGGCGCCCGGCTCCAGCCCTTTGGCCCGCCGCCCCCCCGCCGTGATGCGGCGGGCCGCGCCGTGGCCGTGCCGCCCCTGGGCCTGGGCGGCGGCCGCCCTCCTCCGCGGCCCGGCGGCCGCCGCCTCGTGGGTCGCGGCGGTGCGGGGGCCGTGCGAGCAGGTCGGGGCCTGCGTGCAGAGCCCGAACTACCCGGGACGGTGCGCGGCTGCACGCGCACACGTTGCTCACGTCTGCTTCTTCGGGAGGCCTCTCGGGGGTATCTTAGGAGGCCTGGATCCTCTCATGTCTGATGCCTCTGTCCTGGGCCTCTTCCTGGCCACCAGGGGGCCAGGAACAAGCAGAGACACGAGCACAAGCAGAAACGAGCACTATGAGAAATGAACGACGTGTCAGAGTGACCCTTCGCTGGAGTGACCTCTGGTGCGGGCCCAGTGGGGCACCCCGATCGCCAAGCACGATGCGACAGCAGCGGCCTGCGCGCCCGGCGGTGTCCCCGAAGGGCCCCCCACACTGGGCCGCGCACCACAGGTCACTCTTGCCCAGGGTCGCTCTCCTGCGTGTAGCCGAGGTACGGTGGCCAGCAGAGCTGCGAGATCTCCGTGAACCCGTGGGCGCAGGAGAGCGTCAGCGCCATCCGCTTCCGCAGCGAGAGGAACTACGACGTCCTCACCGTGAACGGGAAGCGCTATTCGGGCCACTTCTCGCGGGGCCCGCAGGACGTCGTGGCACCCGGGGCGATCCTGTGGAGCTCTGACGACGGCGTCGAATCTACAGGGTGGAAGATTTGCCGCACGTCGGATTCCTATGACCTTGCGTGCTCATATTCGCCCTTTGAATCCTCTGTATCTAGTCTACAGCTCTACTCGCTCTACGCTGTGTGGTGTGTGTGTGTGTGTGTGTATTCCCGTAAGACAATTTAGAACGCACCTCGTTCTCCGTTATCGCGTCTCTCACTATCACGATAAACATCATATATTCCCCCAAATTATTTAAAAACCTATCTTATGATCTTCACTCCCTTATCGCAATCGACATTACCGTAATAGAGTGGTTTAGAGGATAGTTGTGAGTGATATATGGTTCGGTCGTGTGTTGAGTTGTTAGTGTGTGTGTGTGTCCATAGTATACAGTTGTTTGATTACTGTTGGATTTACCTGCCCATCCCTCTGTCCGGTGGGCGACATCTGTATCATTCACATAGCTGATTTCATTACTTATCTTGTTTGCGGGTGTGTGAGTGGAGGCGTGTGAGAGATGCGTGACCCAACGCTATCTGTTCGGTTTGTTGATGATGTCGCTATTCTTCATGCTCCTCACACTGATGGAGTCCGTCGCAGAGCGAGCTACGAATGAAACAAGAGTCTCAGGAGGTCAAGTTCCTGCCGTGAAGTACGAGGGGAAGCTGTGGCAGTTCTTGAGGCACCCATTCGTCAAGTGGACTTATCGGACAGTGGCTCTTCTTGTAATTGCCACCGTGATAAGTGTTGGAGTCTACGTCCAGTTCTTGGTGGACGCAATGCTGATCGAGAGTGGATTTGATCTGCTTCCCTCCCAGCGCGACTCAAGTGATTCTCCGCCAGTGTATGCGGTCATGCAGGGCATGAAGGGCGATTTCGCGGTCATGAGCATCGTATCCCCAGCGTTCGAGCTGTTCCGTCCGATTCTTAAGTGGGTTCGTGCATGCTTGGATTGGCCCGTGGCATGCAATCCTGCCGCGTGGTCTGCCTATTCTGTCGTTTGCCTTTCTGCAACATATGTCCAGTTCGTTTGGTGCACGACCGACGTTGCATCTCCTTTGTACGATCGGCAGAAGCGGTTGGAAGAGGCGCCAGCAGATGAGACTGCTGGCAATATGGGTTTTCTGAAGCAGAAGTTTTACGCCCTGGTTGTATTGATCATCCTCAAGTTGAACTTCTACACTCTGCAAATTGTTGGGCAGGGCATAGTCTCTGGATTCCCCGGCATGATGTCACACGATTCTAAATATTGCGAGGTCGAAGTGGTCCACCCCCACGGAATTGAGCTTGGATATGCAGCCTCATGGCTGATTGCACGGCTCATGTCTTATTCGTAAGGGCTTCGCCCCCTGCCGCCGGCCCCCTCTCTATCCTAATGGGGTAGATCAGGGTCGCGTCGGTGCGTCTCGGCGCTGTCTCGGCGCATCTGCGAACATCATGCGGGGGCGGATTGGAACCATCAGCGCGTATTGAGACGTTGGCGTTATCGACGACGCGCACGGCGAATCGCCGCCGCGCCCTGCCCTTGTGGAAGCGCTGATGTGGCCGACAGCTGGGCTAGAGCTTGGCCAAGCTATCGGGCCAATTGTTCCCCGAGTCGGTAGGGAAAGCCTTCGGGGAACGCTTGGGGGAGCAGGCGGCTTGGAATCGCCCATGCGTCTGAGCGTTGTGGCCAGTGCTCTGCCAACACACCAGGCCATTTGTTCCCCCAACAGTTGTGGGAACCCTTCGGGGAACACGTCGGGGAGGACGGCGGGGAAGATCAGGAGGAGGAGGAGAAGGAGGAGGAGGAGGAGCAGAAGGAGGAGGATAGAAGGAGGAGGAGGAGGAGGAGGAGGAGGAGGAGGAGGAAGAATAGAAGGAGGAGGAGGGGAGGAGGAGGAGGAGGAGGAGGAGGAGGAGCAGGAGGAGGAGGAGGAAGCATCTTGGGAGCCTCTGGAGGCGCCTCTTGGCGCCTCCTCCTGGGAGTTTCCTGAGAGCCTCTTGGAGGCATCTTGGGGGGCCTCGTTGTGCATTTTGAGGGCCTTTGGGGGCTTCTCGGGGTCTCAGGGCATTCCTGGCACGTCCGACGCCGTCGGAAGCCGTCTTTGGGGCTTTTCTGGGCCGACTTGACTCGAGGGACGTCTTTGAGGCCATCTTGGGCGTCTTGGAGGCCTTTTGGGCCTTCTGCGGCCCTCTTGGGGCCGTCTTGGAGGCTTCTTGGGCTGTTCTGGGGCCGTCCTGGAGGCCTCTTGGGCGATCTTTCGGGGCTCTTGGGCCGTCTCGGGCCGTCGGAAGGCCGACCGAAGCAAACATATCTCCCGAAAACCGGAGGGAAATCGATGCATTTGGCATCTTCGGGCCTTCCTGGAGAGCCTCGTGGGCCGTTTTGGAGGCCTCTTGGGAGCCGTCTTGGGCCATCTTAGAGCCATTTGGGGCCGTCTTGGTGGGCTCCTGGCCCGTTTGGTTCCGTCGGGAATTGTTTCGGGGGCCTCGCTGTGCAACGTACAGCCCAGAGCCTGCCTGACTAGAGCCTCCTTACTACACAACAGATGGCCTCTAGATGCCGAGTGTGAGCTTACACCTGCATACATGTCTGCGCTCACAAGGGACCCCGGTTTACATATATCCGCGTTTCACGGCGCATCGTGTTTCGAATTCCGTGTGTAGTTTAGGCATGCTTGATGGTTTCCCCGAGAACCCTCGTAGAGCCCTCGGGCCCCAGATGGCTCATTCTATAAATGTTTCAAGTGTCCCCAGGACGTTTCTTTTGAAACCGCCTTGGTTCAAGCCTTTGCAGCGACAGAGTGTCGCTGGATTCATGGTGCGCGCCTGTGACGCGCAGGATTGCGAGCTGGCCCGCAACCGTAACAGCCCCTTTTCATCACCATCGCGCGAGCAGCCTCGTGCTTCCCATTGCCCGTACATCCCCGACACCAACATCAGTGTTATCGAAACCTCGAGAGGCGAGAGAGAGAGAGAGAAGAGAGAGACCAATATCCAGGGATTCATCTCAGGGCAGTGGTTCTAGCAGCGCCATTGCATGGTTGCGGAGCTGTGAAGCTCCATGGGCAACATACTCACGGAGCACAGCGTGCTACGACACAATGGCGAAACGCAGCATTGGAGATGACATTGTATTGGAGTGGAACGGAGACTTCACCAAGGTGAACGATTACGAGCGAGACGCCAAGGCCTCTATCCGCGGGACCAGGCGTGACAAACGAAATGTGTTCGGCCACAGACTCTGGAGACGACTCGGGCGACGAGCTAGACAGGCCGCCATGCACGTTGATTGGGACCGCATCTAGAAGGACGATGGCGCCATTGAGTTGCCCAGACACGTCCGCGCAATGCTCGGAGCGCAGCCCATCCAGGACGCTGGGAAGTATTTGGCCAGATTGGTATTCGATCTACGACGCGACTCTTGTTATGCCGTCCTTTGTCCGCCGCGATTACGAAACCTATCACGACTTGGTCAACGGATTTGCCACCGAATATTTCGAGAAGCAGAGACATCAGCGTCTCGCCAAACGGGCGACGGATTGGAACGACGTCTACACAGAGATGCATTGATTCCTCCATGAGATCTTGCTCGAGGGCCCCGAGGACTCCTGCCGACAAAGCGAGAGAGCTGAACCTCAAGCTCTGGAGCTTCATCAGGACGGGGCTCCAGGAAATTCTGGAGCATGCCGATTTCGGAACCGATTTTAACCGGGCGGTTCCCCATCGACCAGCTCCGTGGGTGTTTACTGCTGCAAAGATCCAGACTGTCCCCGACCGAGCGTGCAGCAGTGATCAGTGTTGTGGAGGGTAACCTCGACTGCGAGAGCATCGGAGCAGTTTCGTGTATCCTGGCCAGATGGCGACTCGACGAATCGCGACAATAACCAGGGCAAAGATCACTGCCGCCCGGATCGTGGCAGGGTCCGGGCCGGCGGGGATCAGGAAGATGACGAAGATGAAGTTCAGCATGGCTATGGCTACTACGACGATTCGAACGCGTCCTACGATACCCAGCCGGAGGAAGATCCAAAGATCCCGAGGAGCCCCTCTACGTTGCTCCAGCGATAGAGGAGGCCGAGACCGCCTTCGCAGCTCAGCAGCGCAGCTTCGAGCAGGCTCGGGACCTGCTTCGTCGAGTGAAGACGGCGAGGAATTCCTTCCCAGTGGATGCGCAGCCCGCGCGACGAGAAGCCCCATGGACCTCGAATGGCATCCCGAGGCTCTTGGTTTTCCACGGGGCGAGGGCGCGTCGACGGACAGCGACGTGATCGACCGAGTTCCAAGAGTAGTGACCGCTCGCGTCCCGCATAGAAGGGCCTGCGCTTGAAATGTGGAGGTAATACGAAAGACCACCGAGACCGAGTTTCATCCGCCGGCAGCCGAGGGGGTCGAGATCGACCGAAGAAGGCTTTCTCGAGCTTCGACTTCTTCAGCGCTCAGCGAGGCGCGGAGATGGGGGCCCATCTGACCGGGCGCGACGAGGCGATCTACGATACCTCGACCGGGATCCGCGTTCTGATCGTCTGGTGACCTCGCCCGTCTGGGCGACCTTGGAGCAGGGCGAAGAGTGGATGCGCACGGGCGTGAAGCAGTCTGGCTCCGAGGGCTCCGGCATTCTGGACATCGGCGCTGCCTCCAGCATCGCGGGCATATAGGCCGCCGAGAAGCTGCCAGGCACCGTCTATGAGCAGACAGGCAGGAACGTCAATATTATCGTCGGCCAGAAGTCAACCTTAAATCTTCGGCGACGTCAACTCCGAGACCTGCAACGGCAAGGCCACCTTTCCGCTGGAGATAGCCGGCGCGGAGGGCGAGCTCGAGACCGACATCCTGGGCGCCGACGCTCCGCTGCTGAGTTGGGGTGGTGTCTCGAGCCGCCCGGGAGCCGCGATCGACTGCGCGGCGCGCGCTGCTTACTTCGAGAAGCTCGGGCGCCGAGCGCGGCTGCTCGCCCTTCCGAGCGGCCACCCTGCGCAGCCACTTGCATCGCATGCCGACTTGCCGCTTCGTGGCCATCCTCAGCTGGGGGCGCGCGCCCCCGACGCCCGAGACTGCTCCGGTGCAGGAGGGAAAATG